CTCTCTTGCTTCTATAAATAGAGAGGGTGTGAGGCTTAGGAGAGCAAGGGAGAAGATATCTTGAGCTACCACAAAGGAGGAGAGAATAGCTATAGAGTTAGAGAGGAGGAGAGCATCTTGAGGCCTTGTATCAAGGTGTCGCTTGAGAGGGAGGCCATCGAAGGAAGATGAGGGCTCATCTTTATGTATAAGCTATGTATTCTCCATTTCTTTTGCCTTAGTGAAATATTTGATTGATTCTCTCTCGTGGACGTAGATCCAGTTGGATCGAACCACATAAACGATCTGTGTTTGCTTGTGTTCTTTTTCGTCTCATTTCTATGTCAGGAAGTATATATCTCACAACAATGTTTACGGTACATCTAAATCTAGCGGTGATATTGATGATGGAGTAGGATTAAGAAGAATCCATGACATCGGAGGAGAAAGAAGAGAGAACGACATAGTTGACGAAAAACTCAAAACATGAAGATAGAAATACTCGATTTTGTCACGTCGTGAGGCGAGGAAAGCCAGCAATATGGGGCGTAGCCATGCACTGGCTAGGGTAGAAAGCAAGTTAGGGACGGAGCAGAGTGCACAGAAGGGGAGAGTGGCGAGCAGAGGAGCGCAGAGAGAGAAAGGCCGGCGTCAGCGTATTCAGTGGGGAAGTGGGCCTGCGAAGGCTGCTGAAGTACCAGCAAGCTGGAGGAACTGGGGCGCGCCGGACGACATCGCGTGCGATGAGCGGGCGGCTGTTGGGACAACATTCGGTTTTGTTTCTTTTTTTTAAATTGTGCGAAAATATTATCTGGATGAGAAATGTGAAGATTAGATGTGGATAGTTAATATTGGCATTGTATTGTATTGAAGTGATGTTGGTGGCATTGAGATATAATTAGAGTGATATTGAGGTGCAAATAATAAACTAAGGCCTAGGATAATTCATTTTTATGAATATATATATATATATATATATATATATATTAATTTTTCAAAAAATATGAAATCAAATAAATCTATATATATATCACATATTTAAATTTAAAATTTCAATAATTAAAATAGATTAAAAATATCATTAATATTAATTATCATAAAAAAAGTTATATGTATGTAATAAATTTAATACATATGTTTTTTATATAACTTAAAAACAAATAAATTATAAAGTATAAGAAATTAATTCTATGTATGTAAGGTAATCTAAAAGATATTCTTATTTATGTATGTGTATAATGCTTAATTTTTAATATTTATTTAGATAACACTTTATTTTCAAATAATATAAAAAATATCATCAATAGTGGTTCATCTAAAATGAAATATTCTTCTAAATTTTTATATACTGATATTGTTTAGACATTAATTTATATAAATAAATATACAATTTTGATAGTAGATAAGTAATTATATAAGAATTTAATGATATGTTTGTGAACCTCGGTAAAAGGAATAATGAAGAGATAGTACTTTATTAAAACTTATATAACAATAATACATAAGATATAAACTAACTATTTTGACCAGTATTGTACTATGATTGTTAGCCTATTATTGCCGAATACATGGATTTCATTACATGCTTTATAAAATTATCATTTTTTCTCAAAGGATATATTTCTTAAAATATTTTTCACAATCATAATCAAATTTTAAGTTATAATACATCTTCGACTTAAAGTTAACTTAATTCACGTTCAACTATAAATTCTCATACATAAGTCATCACTATTAACGATCTGGTTTTGAGATGAGCTAGGATCGTCCCAAACAAATTCGATCCAAAATGTTAGCTAGTAGTCGGCTCGTTTATTTCAATCCGATCTCAATCTGAGTCAAAATTTCAATCAAATTTTGAGTGATTAACTATCTTCGAGATAAATTCACAATCCAATTGAGGAATTAGAACCGTAATTTTTCAAAATTAATTCGTAATGAAATCTGCAAAGGCGGCAACATGACAGTAATCAAATAGAAAAACATTGCACAAACTTTTTTATGTGGGTATCCGCTAATCCATTTACTAAGGGCCTTGAAAAGTCATTGCCAAGGCCTTGAATTCAGCGCCCATTTGAAAGAACATTGTTGTTAGTGAAGTTATTTAAAAAAAAAGATGTCTTTCATATGAATATAGCCATCTATGATCTAAAATGATAAAAAATTATCGTCTTATTAAAATAACTTCAAGAATGCTGCTTTACCAAATAAAAGTAACAACAAGTTTGGCACAACATTTTAGCTACGGTGCAGTGCGAAAGCAAAATAAGGGGGCGTTTGGATGTTGCGGTGCTGTGCTTAAAAGTGGTTGTGGGTTCTAACACGCAACCCGCATTCCTTCGATTTTTTTTGACACGAATGCTCTCGCGATCCCGTGTTTATTCCTCTCTCTCTCGCGACTCTTGTCTTAATCCCTCTCTCTCTCGCAATCCCGCGGTGCCTCCTTTCTCTCTCGCAACTATTGCCCCAATGCCTCTCTCTCATGATTTAAAGGTGTAACGTGTTGCCTCTTTCTCTTTTGCTTCTATAGAATCGTTGTGGCGAGCTTCCCTCTCCCTCTTCTCTCTCTGTTCTTCGGCTCTATTTGGATCTCTATCTCCACCTTGTATACGGTGGTTCATCTTCGTGCGGTGGTTTTTGAGGTTTGGCTTTGCATATTTCTTTGTATTCCCTACCTTACTATGTTGTAGTTTTTTATTTTCAAAATGCGTATGTCCACTGCCTTTCAGTTGATATTGGATTTTGGGATTTGATTTTCTATGCAATATTTGGAATTCCATGTGCAATGATTTTGGAATATGAGGGTGGATTTTGGATTTAAGTATTCTCTGCCTTTTCTTGTGCGGTTTTTGAGCTTTGCTCTAACAGAACATCTGCCTTGCACTTTCATTCTTAATTCTATGATATTTACATATCTAACATCCATAACACTTGCGGCTTTGCTCTCTTCAGTTGTTATTCTTTTTTAATGTGAATTTTGGCTGGATTTTTTGCATAAAACAATGTCTTAGAGGTTTGTATATTTTCAATATGTGGAGATGGTTTTCTAGTAAATCTTGTCTTCACGATGAGAGTTAAAAAAAAAAAAAAGGCAAATAAAGGCAAATAATTGAATATCTTTTATTTTGTCAATTATTTTTTTTTTTTTTCAAATCCATCAATATGTCTATCTTAATTTTGTAATGTTTTGCACTAGATATTTACTTTCAAGCATGTAATATACTAGTATATACAGTTCTGTTGCAAATAACATTACAATATTGTGATCGAATGATTATTTGTCCAAAAACAGCTGCAACACAGCCGTTTTCAAATTGCAAAAAATAAACAGTCAGAAAAGAAATCTGCAGCAACTTTCTGCCACAACTATTACGCAACGACTTATTAATAAGCTGCAGCTGCCCCAAACAGACTCTAATTCTACTCATCAATGTTCACTACAACGCAATAAAGCTTCACTGTCTTCTCAAGCGATGCCTCAATCATCTCCTAAGAAATAATAATTTTTCATATTGTGGACTTTCAAGAAGTGGAAAGCAAATATATTGATATATATATATAATAATAATAATAATAATTTTTTATAATGTTTTCTGCCGTTGACCTTTTTTTTTTCTATGCATTAATGGTTTCAGCTTTTTCCAACACACCAAATAATTCAAAGTTTATTATTAGTATTATTATTATGATTATGACTACTATTAATATTATTACTTGAGGAAAAGTAAGCGTGAGCCACTTCAAAATTGCGCCCTTCTATTGTAAGAGGGTAATATAGAACCAGTTCTAAATAGCGTTACCATCGGCCAAACACTAAAAATAGGTTCCATGAAAAATCAAACATGAAGCCATAATAAACAAATTTTAATTTGAATGATTGCCAAATCTAACAAAAACGAAAAACAAAAACTTAAACGAGTAACATATTAAGGTCTAAACATACCGTGCAAATGGTCTTCCAGAGATCCCAGGGGCATGAACTCGTACACCAGAAGTCTCTGATCTCCTTCAGCGCAATAGCCGATTAGATTAACAAGGTTTGGGTGGTGCAGTAGACTGAACATCAGAACCTCCACCAGGAATTCTCTGTTCCCCTGTAGCCCATCCTGATCTAGACGTTTTATAGCCACAGTCTGCAAAAAAATAAAAGAAGCATCACAAATCTAAGCTGCCGTCTGCTGCAACATATGAGATTTAAGTTATTAAGATTTAATAACACCTCGGATTTAATCCGGAAAATTCTCTGGCAGCGGATTTAGTAAATCCTACAAATCCAGTGACACTGTTTGGCAATTACCAAACCGCCAACGGTTCGTAGGATTCACAAAATCCACAATTTACGGCCAAAACCCGTGAAATTTATTTGGTGCAAAATAGCAATTTGACAATATTCCACCACCTAATATTATCTAACAATCAATGTCTACAAAAATATTTCACAATTCGTGTATTTAGGTAACTAACATGTAAATTTTGATTTTTATATTTATGGCAGTTTAACTCGCCATTCATTTATTCAATTGTAGTAATATCATTAATGTTATATAAGAGATGAAAGCCTCATAAATATTAAAATTAAGCTTATTTAAATGCTTACCATATATACTAAAAACACACAATTACTTTATATTTAGATATCTAACACCTAAACTTTTATTTTTTTATATTTCTAACCTTCGAATACGAACAATCAGCGCTCGCAAAAATATTACCTGTCCGGAGCTGTCCAGCCGACCTTTATAAACCCGACCAAATCCCCCTTCACCAATGAAGCAGTCTCGCCTAAAATTCTTTGTTGCAGCAGAAAGCTGCTTCAGCGTGAATGTCTGTGCTGATATGGTAACACCAGTCTCATCCTTCTGAGCCAACGATAACCTTCTGGAACCCAAGCTGCTTCTGCTTCTGATTTTGCTCGATCCTGCAATCAAATGTAGGGATAATAAACTAACCCTCCCAGATCGAACAATTGATCTTCAGATTAGAATGAACAAACATCAGAAAATCCAAAACAGTAATCAATCTACGGCCGTGGAGTATCGCATTGATTTCCAAAATGGTGTTCGGGAGTAGAAATCTGTCCTCAAAAGGGCAAAATAAAATCCAGATCGATCTACCGATAGAGCTTAACAGAGGATCAATGATACAAACATACCAGAAGATAATATCCTCATGCGAGGAACTTCCATGGTCTCCCCTTCCTCCTTTGCATCTCCCTCGCCACGTGAATCGAATCGCTCCGCCTCAAAAGCGAAGCAAGAGAAACAACCCATCACAATCGTAGACCACAGATAAACAAACTGGTTCAGATCCTTCTGCTACTTCGATGTAACCCGATCATACATTCCCCCACAAACCGCGCAGAAACTCAATTATTCCATCAAATCCAATGCCTATATGAGGTTTGAGAGTAATGGCTGCGAAGTGGACAATTGCTGAAAATATATTATGGGGGAATACAGCGCGAGTTGATTCCCGCTGACCTGAAGAGTTCGGAAGACTTGCCGGCCGGTGCTTCGGCTTCAGACGCCTGTCATTTTTATACATTTTCTAAATTAAAAAGAGGAAGGAAAAAGGAAGGAGATATGCGGCTTCATTAATCCATGCGTTGTTGCGTGCAGCTTTTATGCAAATGTAGCGTCCGGCGAAATGGTTTAGGACCACAGCTTACTTTTTCTATGTTTCGCTGCAAAGGGTTCAAATTTAAGCCAAGTTTGATCCATTCCGATCGGGTCAATTTTTTATTTATTGATTGGGGCATTTACATACATACCATCCAATAGCTATGGATTTATATTTAGTATTTAAATTTTAGTTTTTAAAAAGTTGAATACAACTTCTTTTCATGTATAAATAAGGGATGGGGATGTATATATATAATTTTATTTTATTATTACTTTTTTAAAGGAATGGTTGAAAGCTATTATAAGAGTCTCGGTCATCTCTAATGTGCCTAACTATTCGAGTACCACACCCTATACACAGGGGAATTGAATACTAGACTAGAGAGGACTTATAACGGACAAGCAGATGCTCTACCAACTGATCTAGAAACACGACTAAGGATGCATATCTATCTATATATATGTAGTGCAACATATCTCGGTTTGTTTGTTGGCATCATCGGTGTAAGACCCCTCAGATCGGATGTTCGAATCTCTTCTGACACAGTTGGCCTTAAAGAGGTGGTACTCAAATTTTTAGGCACATTAAGAGTTGTTGGAGGTTCCTATAATAGCCTCTAGCCATTCTATATATATATTAAAATTTACATATTTAAATACAGAAAAATTCAATGATATGTAGGTAGATCTTCCTTATGGATTTACCAATCACACTCTTTTAAACTTTTGAAGGTGGGCCATTAAATTGTTCATATTCATTGCATTAAAAATTTAAAACTAATGATAACTATATTTTAGGGAGATTTACATACATACCGCATAATTTCTTTTATATTTATATATCAAGGTCCTAATCTTCTCTATTTATTTATATATCAATTAAGAGTTTGACATCGCATCAAAAAATAAAACTAATACGATTTTAATTAGAATTGAATCTCATTATCGCTCCAAAATATTACATATCTAAGGAGGAATTACATACATGCCTTCCAAATAGGCCAAATTTCTACATTTTATCATATTTATCACTCCATAAAATTTATAGTTTGAAATAGCTAGAGAAACAACAACGGGATCGCAATATACAAAGACCTCCAAAACTCCCATTTTTCTCCATTTGCCTCGCTGCTCTTCCAGTTGACCGTGGAATCACAACAGTCATTGACCTCCAAAAATTACAACGATGAAATTTTGGTGTACAAAGACCTCTAAATGTCAATCTTTATTCTCTTTTCGCTTTGTTGCTGCTCTAGTTGAATGCAACAATAGAATTTCGGCATACAAAGACCTCCAAAACTCCCACTGAGACAAATTTTAATGGAGTGATAGATATGATGAACCTGAGAGATTTGGGTGGTACGTAGGTGTATGATCAAAATATGATGAACCAAGTCTGACGACCTTAGATGGAACACCTCTCGAAGAATCAACTCAAGCGAGCACAAAGGGCTCCCAGCTAGCACAAAGCAAATTATCAGACCGACTAAGTTGAGATGTTCGACCGAATAAACAAATGAATGACTTACTAGCATAGGAACGAGTGAATCAATGACAGTTTGACGGTTACTATGGTCAACCGACTATAGGTAATCTCAAGGGCATTACTAAGATTTCATAATGTAACTTTAATTTACTATAAATATGAGAATAGAAAAGGAAATGTTTTCGATAAGGTGTGAGGGGATTATCAACTTTCGCTTCCTTGAGACCCATGCCTTTCCAGACTCATTTTTTTCTCTCCTTAAGCTCTATTCCTTAAGTGTGATTCACAAACAAATGTGGGTTCAAAACCTTGAAAGATGCGGCGAGTGTGGATCATGCCACAAAAAGAAAAGGCACAACCCAAGAAGAAAAACCCAAACCATGAAAAATGAATGATAATAGAACTTTTATGTGTGAGTTTGTGGTTCAATAGATCAACAAACTCAAGGAGCTGATGATGGAGGTAATTAAAGACACTCTTACTACCAGGAGAGCACAACTACAAAGACTAATAATGCCCTGTCATCTATAAAGGATGATTGCCCAGAACGATGAAGGAGCCTCTAAAGAGGGACAAGACACATACACTATCCTGACAGCGTAGAGGGTTTTAAGATCTCATACCATCAGAAAATGCTTTCTCTCAGCAAATCTCTGAAGTTGAGCTCCCGGAGGGTTTTAAGATCTCAGCCTTAGAATCCTATCGGGGATAGTTGGATTCAACTAACCATAACATCTCTTTCAAATCGATAGTATACTTATTGAGAATTTGCGATGTGCTCAAGTATTGTCTTCTTTTTGTGACATTTAAAGAGTAAGCCCTTCGTTGGTTCAGTAATTTACTGCCGATAGTTATTACTTCCCATGCCGATTTCAAGAGAATGTTCATAACCCAATTTGTCAGTGTCGCCCAAAAGCTCCAAAAAATTTTGTAAGCTCTCTGTTGACCTCACTTTTGGTTGAGGTCTAG